TGTAGCTTGATCCGCTTAAGGGGCCCCTGGCAGTAGGATCAGGATCCATCCTTGGTGCATGAGCTGGCTTTCTGGAGCCCACTACCTATGGTGGGACACCTTGCACAGCCTTGAGGCAGGGGGAGGGGCTTGGACCTGCCTCAGCTGAGTGTGCCAGGCTCAGCTGATTCCCCATGAGAGGCCTTACCTTCTTGTAGGAGGGAATGGGGGGGGAGGAAGTCTGGGGAAGCGGGAGGAGGGAAGAGAGGGAGATCTGTGATCAGTATGTAAAATGAATAAAAACTATTTCTTAATAAAAAAATGCAAAAAAGGGAAATTGATTAAATAGCCAGGATAAGATTGTGTAGCAATTAAGGTAATTTAGTAGAAGAGCTTATAAATGCTTGGAAGTATTGACACCATATTATTAATTTCAGAGGTGGTTATGAATGAGATATACAGCATCATTTCATTTTTTAAAAATGTGATGAGTACATATGTACATATAGAAAGCTTATGTGATTAGTGCTCATCTCTGATGAGACCATAGATTTTTTTAAAAACATCTTTTGGGGCTACTGAGATGGCTTAGCAGGTGTAAAGATGCTTGCCCCATGTCCTGAGTTTGATCCCTGGTGCCCACATGAAAGTGGATGGTGGGAACTGACTCTGTAGGCCACCCTCTGACCCCTACACGCACACACAGACACAATAATAGCAAAAAATTAAAACAGTATTTTTCTAAGCTTACAAGTGTATGTGGTTTTTAGTATAATAAAGGAGAAATATTAGAAAGCTTTAGACCTGGAGGCAGTCTCCACCAGATGATAATTTTTTGAGCACTCTATACCTGGCTCTGCTCTTCCGGTAGTCAGAGGCTGTGAACGGCTCGCTCCCCCCCAGCCTCACAGGGCCTTGGATTGCTTCCAGTTTTTCATTACTGAAGATAATGCTAGGATTATGATCATTATATTGAAGGCCCCTTTTTTTCGTATTCTCAATTATTTTCTCTGCGGTTTCCCAGAAGCGATATCACTGCGTCAGTAGGTATGAATATTTTTGTCACTCACGATATGTGCTTCCAAATTGCTGCTCAGTGGGGCTGTACCAAAACTCGCTACCACAAAGATCTCGCCAGCACCGGGGTTTGTGATTGTATTTAGTGTGAGCTAATTTTACAGGCAAAGAACAGCACCTCATTCTATTACTTCAGATTTCCAGCCAGGCTGAACAATTCTCCTCATAGATCATTTATTTACTGTATTTTTACTCATGGATTTTGCAGTTTATCTATTGGCATTTTCATCTTGTGCAAACTCTGTTAAAAAAAAAAATAACAGTCTTTTGTTATGTTGTCCTATCCTGGCTGAGGGCATTTTTCCCTGGCTCTTGTTTCCCTTCTGAGTTGGGTATTTTTCTGTTTTGTTCTGTTGTTGTTTTTTATTTCTGCACTCAAAGCTTTGAATGGTTATATAGTCAAACCTGTCACGTCTGTGGTTTTCTTTCATGGCCTCCAAGTTTAGAGCATTGCTTTCCTACCCCTCAAGCAGCAGGCTGATGAAGGCTTGATTCTGTTTGCACCCCGGTCTGGTCTTTCTCGTGGCTGCCTTTTAACTCATCAGGGGCTCAGCACACTTTCCCACTTACTGTAGCTGGATAATCTTCTCCGTTCATTTGCTGTTCCTGCTGCCTTCGGCTTACTGCTCAGGCAATAGGGCCTGATTCTCATGGCTCCTTCTGCTCTGTTCTGTACCAGCTGATAACACGGAGTTTTGTTTTGTTTGTTTAGGTTTTTGTTGTTGCTGTTTTGGGGGGTTGTTTTTGTGTTTTTGAGATAAGGTCTTACATTACACTCCAGGCTGGCTTAGAACTCATTGTGTAGCCAAGGCTGGCTGGCTTAGAACTCTCAGTAATCCTCCTGCCTCAGCCTCTCAAGTGCTGAGACTAGAGGCGTGAAACGCCATGCTGAGCTTCTAGTATATTTTAAATGAGGAGTTCTTAAAAATGTATCTGATAGGCTTCTCTTGTTTATAAATATGCATTTTAAAGATTTATTTTTTAAGACTTATTTACTTCTTATATATATAGTATTCTGTCTGCATGTACACCTGCACACCAGAAAAGGATACCAGATCCCATTATAGATGGTTGTGAGCCACCATGTGGTTGCTTGGAATTGAACTCAGGACCTCTGGAAGAGCAGTCAGTGCTCTTAACCTCTGAGTCATCTCTCCAGCCCCTATTTGTTTTTATTTTATGTGTATGAGTGTTTTGCCCGTGTGTATGAGCATGCAGTACCTGCAGAGGCCAGAAGAGGGCATCAGAACCCCCCAAAACTGATAGAAATGGTTATGAGGTGCTCTGTGAGTGCTGGGAACCAAACCCTTGCCCTCTGCAAGATCAGCAAGTGCTCTCAACAGCTAACCCATCTCTCCAGTCCCATTCTCCTCTCTCATTACTTTAAAGCTTTTTTTTTCCCCTGAAATTTCCTTTTTCATTTGTGTCTGTTTGAATGTAAGCAAAATCCTTTATAAACTCGGAGTTCCTTTGTGGAGAGGGGCCAAGTCTTTGACACTCTTGTTTCCTTTCTCAGTAAGCAGAAGCGCATCCATTCAAGAATAAACACATGTGCCTGGGACTGGCGCGGGGTGGGGTGGGGGCGGCGCAGGCGCAGTTTGCCAGAAGGAGAAGCAGGGCCCCTCCCCATCGGGGGTTCCCCAAAGAGGGGGTAGTATTCTCCGTTCCCAGGGAGTCTCATCTGTTTTAAGCAGCAGATAAAGTGATTTTCTTCTGACAGCTCTGGAGTGGTCAAGTCTGAAGCCCCCCTGTCTGTAGCTTGCTTAGTAGGTCTGCAGGGGAACGCGGGCTGGAACAGGAAGGATG